GACATGGGGGCCGGGGCGGGGGGGGGAAGGGGGCAACATGCCCAGCACGGGGACCACCCGCCTGTCTGCTCGGCCTGCGGCGGAAAGCCCGGCTCTCGGTCCCGGGGACGGACGGCAGCAGCGGTGAGCCGCGGAAGGGAGGGTCGGGCTCGTCCCTCTCCCCTGAGCCAAGTAGAAAGAGCCCTAGGAACAAATACACACGTCGGGGTAAGGATGGAGCCGCTTCCGGAGCCCGAAGCGGGGCGCGGGAGGCAGGACGCCGGTCACCGGGAGGACTGGAGAAGCGCGTGTGGACATGCACGCGCACGCGGGTGCGGGAGGCAAGGGACGTGCCTACGGGTGAGCGCTCCTCCGGTAGCTCGGAGGAGCGAGGCCCGCGCCCCTGGGGGGCTGCCGGATCTGCTTAGCTCAGGCTAAGCAGCGAGCAGGAGGAGAGCAGCTCGAACGCCCCTGGCAAGAGCCCTCACCTCCTCTGGCAGGGACGGATGAAGATGCCTCCGCTCTCCCCCAGGGCCAGTTCCCCGGCCTCTCTTCCCCAGGGCAGCCAGGCCCTTTTTTATCCCCGCCACCTCAGGAGCTCCCATTTACCATCCTCCCGGCTTCTCCAGTTTTTCCTCTCTCCATCTGAAGCCGGAGGCCCAAGGAGGCACCGATGCAGCGGGACAGCTTGACTTCCTTCCGATCCATCCTCCAGCGTTTCCTCTTTGCTCCCTGCTGCTGGCGCTCAGGTCCGGCGCGGGAGGAGACATCTCTCCTGGCAAAGGGGAGCACCGAGGGGAGATCCCTCTCGCCCCGGGCTGTCTAAGAAAGCGGAAGGTGAGTTTGGGGGAAGGGGCGAGAAGAGCGGCGGTGCGTCGGCGCGGGGGGGGGGGGCTGCAGCATCCGGTCGCGCTTCCGACCTGGCCTTTATGTTGAGCAAAACGACAACCTGAAACGACTACCCAAACCGACTACCTGAGTCCTTTCTTCGTTCACGGAGCAGCGCGGACACGGGGATCTGCAAACAGCGCGGCAGCCTCAAGCGCAGCCCTGGACGGGGGAAAGAAAGAGGCAGCCACAGATTTCAGTTTTAACATTCAAGACCTACTCGCTTAAAACGTTGCGTCACGCCTTGGAAAAACGTAACCCACGCGGCCCGGTTTAAAGGGATTTCGGTTCGGCTGTTTGGCACCGCGCACGAAACGCTGTTTTGCCACGATTAACACGCAACGAAACCATTCTAAGCAGTCGAGACGGGGAAACTCTTGATAAAGGCAGCGCAGAGCGCTTTCTTCGGGCTCCGACCCTCTGAACAGTAACAGGTGTGTTTTATTTCGGCGAGCAGTCCCGCTGTGCAACGTTAAGGAGATCCAACACCCAGTTCTGCCGCTCTCATTCATACAGTAGCGCTTCCATTTAAAAGGCACCGCCGGCAACGCAGAGCTGCAATTCCGCGACACTTATGTGCGCGCTTAATGTTATACGATGGGATTAAGCGACGCGTAAATTTAAGTACACGCATAACCGTGTGCTGGATCAAAGCCTAACGGACGACTCAGTGAACGCGAGGAGCGGATGAGGACCCTTAATTCTACCAGGCGACTGAGATGTGAAATGAATCCAGCCGTGCCAGACTAGAGCAGCTAGATAAGCTGCTCACCACCAACGTTCAACCACCTCCCAAACGGTCACAAGTGGGTAGGGAAACAGTCACAATTTGAAACGTTTTTAAAATTAGCAGCGGGGCTGGGAAGCGGGAGAACGGTTTAGAGCGGCCGCTCTTTCGGGAAACCCTCTACGCTTGCCTGCACAGTTAAACGCCGCTTGCGAGGTCAGACCTACTCGCGTGACCCTAAGAGGCAGAAAGCACCTCGCCCTTCCACGCTGGCCCCAGCGCCCTACCAGGGGACCGCAGAGCTCCCGCTTTCGGGCAGCGCTGCGCGGGAAAGCCGGCGTGCACGCAGGACCGCGCGCCCCGTCCGAGTTTTGCGGTAGGCAGCACGAAGAGCGCGGCTGAGCGAATAAGCAGCTTCTTGGTGACGGTTGGTAAAAGCGCAGCAGCACGCCAGGAAGCTTTCGGAGGTACAGCTTTTCTTGCCGCGGCAAAAAGGATTGCCGGCTGTTGCGCGAGCAGCTCCCAGGTCTGTTCTTTTGGGTGGCTGACGGGATTTGCCAAGTACCTCTTCAGACTCACTGCAAGATGACATCAACCGGTGTTAAGTGCTCTCAGCACCTCCCTGGATTGGGCTCCTAGCGAGCATGCCAGCGCTCTACTAGCTAAATGAGTCGTTAGCCAGCTTTGAAGGAGGCTCTTCCTGCGCAGAGCGAAGAGCACAAAGATGTTTGGCTGCAAGGGGAGAAAAAAAAAAAGAGACAAAAATCCCAACCATTGTAACTGGGTACAAGCGCAGGCTGAGCATAAAGGGCCATCATCAAAGCCGCAGACATTTCCTAGGAGACCTGCAAACCGAGATAGGCAATTTTGCCTTGGAAGCGCGACCACACGCATTGGGGGAAAAAGTAAAACCACCCCAAATCCCGACTCTCCCCCCCCCCCCCCCATTGCCAGTGGTTTGCGCATCCAGTCAGAGCACAGCCACACAACCAGTTCAGTGAGGGAGGGAGCGAACCGGATGGAAAGCTCTTACAGACAACCACGAGTAAAACCGGGCGCTGTCTGAACAGCCCTGTTCGTAGCTCCCGGACTCTCCGCTCCGCCGACAGCGTAATTCCACAGTAACGGCAGCAACCAGCCGCCGCTGCCGCCAACGTTTTAAAGACAGAACTAAACACCAGGATCTTCCATTTCTCAAAGCATTCATCAGCAGATAGGTTGAAAGCTTGCGTTGCTATTGTTACTGAACTTGGAGATGTACAAGGAAAAGACCAGTCTTGTTTAGATCTCTGAGGCATTTACAACAGTATCAAAGAGCTTTGCTCTTTTTTTTTTTTTAAACGGCGAAACCACCTACAAGGCGTATCTGTTTTTTTGACATGCTCCGAAACGGTCACTGGAAACAGCTCTTACCATAAATGCTTTCTTATTAACACAGCCATGTGCTGGAAGTTTAATTACAGAAACTATCAATGCAACAGGAGATAAACACTTTGCTTTTGAAGGGAATTAATTTATTGGGAGATCAACATCACACAGGCACGCTGCTGGAGATCCAAGCAATGGCTGACCTCAATATTGTTAAACCATGCTCCGGGGAGCGCTGCTCGATTTTAACTACTTACTTTAAGAATAAACTTCCCCTTCTGAAATAAAGCCGCACTCAGACGTTGGTGATGCCCCCAAAGCCACGTCCACCGCTTTTTCTAGTCGCTTACTCGGAAAAAAAAAAACAGGCACTTGAAATATCTCTGTGATCAATGAGGAAAGGCGGAGGAAGGGCCCCAGTTCTCTCCGTGGGGAGGGGAGGCAACGTACGTAGGAAGAAGTGCAGGGAAACGCCACGGAGAACGGGCAACGTCTGCTCCCGGCTGCAACGCGCTTCCGAAGAGTAACAAGGCATCCTCATTTGGAGCTCTTGGGTTCCTGGCCCAAACTCCTATGCTATAAAAACGTATTTTACTGATGAATAACTGTGCCTCTGTGCACAGATCAGATCCACTGAGGAAGCCGCGTTCTCGCTTCAGGAAAAGGTTAGCTGCCCAGATGTCGCGTAGTAACCAGAAGCATCCGAGGAGAACCTCTGAGAAAGACGGACCGAATCCAGCTGCACCTCTCCGAAACAGAAGTTCTCAAAGAGCTGAAAGAGAGGAGAGAAAACATGTCAGGAACACCTCGAGAAACGCAACCTGCAGCTGGTTCATAGATCCCTTGCAAGAGTCGGCCTTGCAAAAAACCCGTTTTTTGCAAAGAGCCTTGCAAAGAGCCTCATAGACTTGGTTTGCCTTTGATGGAACTATTCTTAAAAAAGATTCTTTTTCCTCCTAGAGACCGCATTTAGCCTTCAAAGCAAGCTCCGAGTAAACAGCGTATGAAACGGATACCATTTTATTTATAGCAGCAGCCGCCCAAACCTTTCCTACCTTGTTTTATGACCTCTTCTCATGTAGTGAGCTTGGTTAGCCTACTCGCTTGACTCGAAGGGCACCATCCCAGGGTGGCTCTCTGACACGTCAAGGTCTGCAGCCTCCAGCAGGGAAAGGATTGAGGCCAGGGCACGCTCTACCAATCCAGGCCACAGGACACAACCACTTACAGTCACAGCTTAGCTCCAATTCCAGCAAGCAGGCTAGAGGCAACAGGCCCTCATCCTAGCGCTGAGCCTGCTTTGTGCAGCAAATCCTGCTTCGCTCAGCAAAGACTTAAAGCGTAAATGAATGAAAGCAAGCCAAAACTCAGACCCCGATCTATGAAGCAGACCGAGGAGTGACGTCAGGATTTCTTGCAGGGAAGTTCCGCAATACTGCTTGGAAAGGCATCGTGTCAAAGTGCCAAGTGCTCCTCCCTTTCCATTAAGATACAGGAGACTGCTCTATAGTGGAACATCATGCCTTAGGAAAGCCTTGCAAGGGAGATGCTAACTTTAAAGCTCCGTTTTAACACCTGTGCCGTGGGTCACCGAGGGCCTGAGCGGTACCATCTCCCCACAGCAGAGACCTTTGAAAAGTCCATTCCATCTCTCTTCTATTGAATTTTCTACCTGTGCCTGCAGGCATCAGTTCCAGACAGTCGGGCAGCCTTTCCCTTCCTGCCGTTACAGAACACGTGAACGCTAATGGCCGGCGAAAGCCGATACATTAATTAAAACCTGCCCTCCTAGAGCCGATGGTGCATCGATTCCTCCATACACCTAATCATCTAAAACCTAAATACTTAGTTAGCATCTGAAAGGCTGCATTTCGCCTCCTCCAGAAACGCGTGCGGTTCTGCCTAGCACCGGTTTAGGCATTACCACTCTTTTGCTGGTTCTCCCAAGGGTATTCTACTTTGCAAATATCCCTTTTCGCAAGGGAACGGAGTTGGGGGTTTCTTTCAGGACAACTCCTGGCTTGGCTGTCGCTCCTCCGCAAAGGTAAGGTGCCTGGTCACTGCCTCGGGGCAAGAGGTTCCCTGCTCGTCTTCGGGGCAGGGTAAGCAGGGCTGCAGCCAGGGAGCGTGGCCCCAGCCCAGACGCCAGGCGCCGTGACGAATCCCATCTCTGCTCCAGACTGCCCGCTCGTCTGGACAACTGTCCGCTCAGAATTTGGCGGAGACCAGCCGTTTCTTGTCAACGCATGACAGATTGGGAACAGCATCTCCACAGAGGAGGAGTGTAGATGCACCCAGAGCTAGCCCTCCACCGCTTCTGAGCCCCTGCCCCTGCCCTAGCGCCTCGGTTCGAAACGGCTACAGCTGCAGTCAGACGTGCTGCAGGGAGCTCGCTGCCGGCAGCCCACCACCGCCCGTCGGCCAGAGACCCCCAAGCTGCCCGCCCGGCAGCACAGACACCGACCCCCAAGCTGCTTCTGCAAAGAGCATCGGGCTTAGTGGAAACGCCTCTAAGACGTGGGTTTCTCTGTCCCCGAGGTCAGTCATGCTGCCTGCCCCTCTAAGACTCCTGCCCAGAGGAGGGGTGGGCACCCTTTGAGGGGCCGCAGTGCCCCTCCAGACCTGGGAGGGTTTCACTCATTTCTCCAGGACCTGCACGCTCTTCTCCCTCCTACCAAGCCCCCCTCTGCCCCAGCCCGTCAGAGACGTACGCTTTTCCAGCAGCGCTACCCAAATCTTTCCGTGTTCATGCTCTGCTTTTCCTGCGCTGCTTGACCCCCTCCAGCCTGTGAGCGATGCCCAAGATCCCAGGTACCTCCAGCCCAGAGCCTCGGCGCGCTGTGCTTCTGCTCTGCACCCGCTCAGCCACCGCACTCAATCACTTGAGTCGGGACGTTATGTTTTTCCTGTCGAGGGCTTCTAGTATCACCCTTGGGAGCCCGCTGTGCGATGCTGCTTTTGCGGGCCTGGCAGCGGGGAGCAGGAACGTAAACTGCTATGCAACCATGGCTCCGACGCGGGGAGCATGCTGTCGAAAAGAAGCTGTTCTAGGAGGGTATCTCAAACGGGGAAAGGGAGAAAAGAGAGGAAAGAAGAGAAACGACTCCAGCCATACAAACTCCATTTTATACCATTAAAGATTTATACCATTAAAGATTAATTATGTCCCCAAAAGCTTGCGTAGCTCATGTTAGAGGACTCAGGATAAAATGTCTCATCAATAAGAAATGGTAGGAAGGAGGCTGGGGTTTCTCTTTTTGTTTTGGCTTACGTGAGGAAGAAGGATGATTTCGCTGGGATGGCTCGACCTCGAGCTCTTCAAGGCTTCCTGCAAAGTTTACTGTCGGGGTGTCCCCCACGCCCCAGACTTTAGCACCCCGGCTCTGTCACAATGGTCATACGTGTTTACATTTGTTTCCCTCGCAGAGCGCTCTCCCCTGAGAAAGTAACGGGAATCGACCCCCTCTGTTCCTAACGGAGGGACTGCGAGGTGCACTGCTAAGTGTGGAAATACTAGCATTGCAAAAGGAGGCTGCCAGTGAGGGAGAGGGAGGCAAGACGCATTTATTTCTGTAGAAACCGAGGTCCACAAACTTTGCAAACATGCAGAAAAAGAGCGAAACGCTGGGATGTGCCGGTCCCAGCAGCAGCCCTGGAGGAGTCACACCTTCACACAGCCCAGCCCAAAGGCAGTGGCTTTCAAATACCTGTTCCTACTAACTCCGCGCACCACAATCTGTTTTTCTGATTAAAAAAATGTGGATACGTCAGAGCAGCAAGTAGCAGTTAGCGAGACTTGTTAACGAGACTAGTTAACGAGACCAACTCTCCCCCTCAGCCCCTCTTGCTTGACGCAGCCTCAGTCACACCAGATCAGGAAGATGATCGGAAAGCCCCAGAAGATACGGCCCAGGTCAAGGGCCCTCCACTTGTACACTGCTAAAAGTAAAGCAAAACCCTTGTACTGAAGCACTTTGTATTCCCTTGGCTTTTTTAAGATCTGCCACCTCTCCTGTGTCCGAGGGGGTGCGTGTGTGTGTTTCCCAGGGAGAACACTGCTAGAACTATTGATTTTTGGTAATGTAGCTGTACTTTCTGAAAGTGAACATGCTACAAGATTTGAAGGACAACCACAGCCGTTTTTCCTACTTTCATTTCAAGCCAACTTTTCACTGACACTTCCTTGCTCCCTCAGGCTTCCAGCGACAAAAGCCACCAGATGCCACGTGTGGGGATCACAGTCAAGACACCGTAAGGCCCGAGACCTGCCCCAAGCAGTCAGGAAAGAGGCCCCTCAAACATCACCCTCCGAGACCTCCAAAACATCAGGAGTGGACTTTCCCATCAAAGAAGGTGTACTACATTTAAGCCCCTGGGGGCTTGGAAACACATTTCAGAAAGTCGAGCCTCCGCTTTTGACTTTCGCTTCTATTTATCTTGGGGAGAAGCCAAGCAGAACTGAGAAAGATATAAATATCTCCCCTCCCTCTTTAGCCACGGAAGAAACACTCTGGTTTTAGAGGATGGCCTGTAGCATCGCCAACAAAACGCTTCCTATAAAAGCACTTCAGCATTCTTTGCTCTGGGCCAGGAAAGAAGAGACCTGGAGGTTGTTACGCTTCATGTGCAAATTCTGCTAACCCTAAAGCACGGCCAGGCCCTTTTCCTCTCCTTCCTGATGGTGTCTTGGTCCACCTCTGCCAAAAAGGCTGCCTGGAGCACTAGGAGGTACGAATCAGTACAGAGCAGTTAGCAGGAAGGGGTGGGGTGGGGGGGAGAAATCCAGTCCTCCGCATGGTTACTGAAAGCCGTGTCATTTGATTGGAGTGGGATGCAAGGCTCAGCAAAAGCACAGTAATTCTATAAATCCAAACACACTGAAGGATTTATGTCGTCGCTGCCTAAAGAATAAATAAGAGGTTGGGGGCTGGGATTTTTCTAATATTATAAATGAAAACGAACCCGATAGAGGCAAAGGGCAATTTGGAAAGTCAACACCACGGGTACCATGCAAGCTCCTAACTCCCATCAAGGGAATAGCACTTACTAGACTAAGTGCCCTCTGTCTTCCCGCTGCCTTCCCCAAATTAAATTAGACCTGAGTAAGGAAAACACGTAGTTAACTTTTAACTCCCGTCCCCGCATCTCTAAGTGAATGTGCCAGAGACGTGCTGCTGTGCCACTCAAAACACATCCCGAGGCTCAGGAGCTGCTCAGCAAGGATGCCTGGAAGGACACCAGCATCTCCCATGCCAGGTCCCCTGGAAGGGAGTGGCGGTACAGCATCCTCCCGGGACCAGAGTCCCAGGACCTGCAGGAGACTGCAGGCACAGCAGCCACGCTGCTTTCCACGAAAGCAGTAAGCCCCTAGAGGGAGGAAGCGCACAGGTCTGTAGATAACCTACATTTCACATGTCAGCCAGCAAATTACCATAGGTCCACGCAGGCAAGCGCTCCCCCTTCTTCCTCTCCCTTCCGGGAGGCCGGCTCCAACGGCACAATCTCGCAGGTGGCTATGAAAGGCAAGCAGTTCTGCAGCAGCTCCCTGAAAGAAAGCTCTTCTAGATTTCTACCCAGAAGCCATTTATTCTGAGCCAAGAAAAGCCAGCAGCACAACAGCTGTCATTTTTAACAGCCCCATTTCTCTCCTTTAAAACAATCCCGTTCAGACGTTTGAAACCTTTCTTTTCCTGAGGTCCATTCCCATCTATTACACACAAATTACAGAGCAGGGTTCCCCTGAGGTGCCAACAATAATGTTCTTAACAGAAG